TCTTCGAGAAGTGTAATCCAAAAATGTCTCTGAGTTCGATTATTCTCTCCACCACACCACAGAGGCAGTTTCCAAAGTCAAGCATTTCAAGAAAGACAGTAAGCATTGTTGTTCAGCGCCTTTACAAAAAGTTTGATGACGTTATTACGTACTTTCATCTTATTGTATCCTCTTCTCTTTTGTTGCAACCCGAAATCTCTGTCAATTCTAGATGACTTCTATTGTAGATGATGATTTCTTCTGGGTTTTCTGTTCTCCATTGCTGTCTAACGTTTCCATCTTAAATATGAGCCTTATCGATCGATACAATTGTTCTGTTGATTGCGATGCAATCACGATTCAAGGACATGTAGTCCTTTTAGCATCTTTATTTAAAATCTTCGCCGCTTATCTAAGAACATAAATTGCTTATTAATTTTTATCAAGAAGAAAATTTCCGTCGTTCATATTATTTTTTCACTATATTTAATGTACCATACTTTAACGATTTAGCGTAACGTTCTTATTTCATAAAGATTTTATTTCGTAAGGCCAGAATTTCACTTTTTACGGTTTCAACGTATTATTCCTTATGCATCTGTTCGCATTTTTTACGAATTAAAGACTTTTAAATATAAATTACTCAGAAAGATTACGCAAAAATATATTTTAACTATATAAGAATTTCATTGATTGAGAGATGAAACTGTAAGACCTGGCTTAGACTGGCTATTGACTATCACTAATTTAGCAAGTCACAAGCTGCGTCAGTGAGTAATTTGGCATTGCAATCATTGAGCTAAATTTAACAGTGACACAAAACATAGCATAAAACACAGAAATATCTTGTTCGATTTAAAATGAAATGATTTAAGGTAAATTATCGCTTTACGACATTATAGCTGGTATGCTAAATTTAACGCAAGATACAGGTGTACAACACGCAAAGTCTGTTGGTGTTCACCCAAATGAAAAATAATTAAAATTACAAATTCAGGTTTCAAGCTTTGCCACGCCTACCAGTGTTAACTATGTAGAAACGCAGATCTAATGCTTCATGCTCTGGAGAAAATTCATGTCTTAATAAGCTCCCACGGAAAAACACCGCCAAAATTAAAGTGTAAACTTTTCTTTCATTTTTCAAAGTTTTGCTAGTAGAATCAACTATTTCCAAATTCAAATCCTAATGCGGTCCGTAACTCGAAGATTCCAAATTAAATTATTACAGAAAAGGCAGTAACTAAAACTAAAAATAGCAAAGAATCTTAGATGTTTTTTAAATCGTAACGTCTTACTTTTTGTTAGGCTTTAATTTGTATTCTAGTCTAGAGCGTAAGTATCTGAAAAATCAACGGAGAAGAGGATAACTAAGTGTGTTCATTAGAAGAGAGAATAAAATCTTGAATATGACTTTAGTAATAGATCCTTGGCAAATTATATTTCAATAAAAGTTGTTTCTGAGTAATACATTTCGTTTAAGTACACATCAAGTGCGTTAAGTATGAAATTTGTGTATTGCAATTCATTTACTCTAAACTATATTTTGTACTCAGTTTTTTGACCCATTCTCATAATAAAAATAAGTAAATGAAAATCTTTACATTTTATTCATAAATAATTTGTTCAAACTTATATTCCGCTAAAATATAAAACGAAATTCTTACTGTTTAGTAGTTAAGTTTAAACTGTGCCCGTTAGTATTTTTATTCGTTGGGAAGTTTGTTCATGTATCGAAGTTAGCAGCCATATGATTTAACATTATATTGTAATATTGTTATCTCAGTTGCACGCAAAAATGTGAAGTGTGCATTTATAAGACTTAAATAAGAAACATAGTCTTTTGTGCTGGAAAACATAGCATGTATCGTAAATTTCCCGAGTAAATGGATAATATTGTTTGAACGATGCACACTGGTAAATGATAACAAAATATTACATTTTTTATAATGCTGCACCAAAACATTTGTAGAAATCAGCATTCTTTTTATGAAAGTAATCAATGTGAAGACATTAATTACAGACCTCACATTTCAGACGTGCAGTGTCAAAACTAATTGAGGAAAGCAGTTTTTCTTTATTTGCTATCCTTTATTTATGGTAAATGGAGCGCGAAATTTCATTTCGTAGCTCTTAAATACAACGCATTTTTTTTTTAACTGCTAAACTGTATGCAATATTTTTGATTACCTTCACGTTTAAGTGTATTTTTCTTTCGTTCTTAAATGATTCATAAAGCACAAAATTTTTATTCCTTTATTATTATTTCGAAGGGATTTTAGATATGAATTACTGTTATTTAATCATTTTTATTGAAGTTTTTACTCGAACACATAAATATAGTTTTCAAGTCGCATAGTGACCTATTTTATATTTTCATTAACTAGTGTTTTTCTCCTCTATTTATTACAGCGTTGCGTCCAAATTGATGACAAATATTTAAGAGTAGTAAATAAAGTTAATGAAAAGAACTCTTTGCTAACAATTGTGCTGGTACTTTTTTTGTCTGTTATTTGAATGCGTGTAATTCTTTTTTCTTCCCATCATTTGACTGCGAATGCTGAGTTTATAATAAATGGTAGCGTGCAGATTACTTCTGTTTTCCTCCTGTTCCTCAGTATCGTGTTTGCCTTTCATTTTTGCATAACTATGTTCAGTTTTCTTGGGTATACAGCTGTTTGTGGATTGTTTGCATACAGGATTTACTCATGTAGTCGCGGAAAAGACTTTCACATTCGCTGTTTCATATAAAGTTCAACATTTATAAGAAATCATTCTCAGAAATGTTTAAATAGGATAAAGGTGGTATCAGATTTACAGAAAGCTTCACAAAATTTCTGGAAATCTTCTGTTTTAAGATTGTTGAATTTGATAAAGATTTTTATGTACGAGTATTTCATATAGTGGATGCTTATGAAATACTCGTACATAGAAATTACCTTTCTTCCAAACTTCCTAGTGGATTACCTTTCTTCCCAATATATATCTGTTTAATTTGCGTAGTCAAAATTTTTCTTTTCGCTCTAATTTGCTGTCACTTCAGGTTAGACGCATCTAATTTTTCTACCAAAACTAAAAATAAGAAAATTGTTCCCAAGAGGAACAACACAGGAGTGAAGTAAAAGCAACAGCGAAACTATAATCAACACTCTCATTATCTATATATCTGCTGTTGAGAAGGTGTGTCATTTAGGTAAAATTAAATTTGGTATGCTTAAGATCTTAAAAAAAAACTTGATTTCTGAAACATTGCAGTTTTATGAAACCTATGCACAGAAGAAACTTATCAATTTCATCACTGAGTAGTTAAGAGTCTGAATGCTGGTAGTTTTACCTAGGTTCGATTCCTACGGAAGAGACAAATGTTACGGGAATCTCCGGAAATTTTCTGGATGTGTTACAATGCGAGTCAGCTCTATCCTCAGCTTAAGCCTGAGTTGCACGATTGTGTTTTCCCCTGCGCAGCTAATTTCTTGAGTTTTCTTCTTTCTTTTTTTCTCTTTTTTTTTTTTTTTTTGAGGGGGTCATAATCAGTTTTGTACTTTCTTTAAATCAAACTTCAGCTAATGTGCGGTATTTGCCTTTTTGTTAACTGTTAACAAAAAGATATGAAATTCCAATTAGCTAACTCATTTTCTTTCTTCATTTTTAAATCTCATGCCTTAATCAGACCCGCAGTGTTCTTCAATGAACGGAGTGCTTTCAGAAATATAGGTAAATAGATGCCTTAACTCTGAGAGAGAGATTAAAAAAAAATATCGTTGCGAGATTATTTTACGTTTTATGCAAAAAGCAATGCAAATAACGTCTGTTTATACCATTCGTCGATCATCACAGGCTTATATTTCTCACTATTTGAAGAGAAAACCGAGAAGATCTCCGAGTTTTTTTTTTTTTTTTTAAATAAGGTTTTAAATTCTGGTTAAGCATTTTAAGGAATTGAGATAATACATACTTAGCAGTCATGCCATTAGATACTTTCAGTTTCCATGTATTTCTGTATTAGTAGAATACCTTTGGCATTACGATTTACGAATGCTGCATGGGGTATATATTATCTTGTTATATTGGTAGTTTTTACAAACTTCCTCTCAAATGCACAGAAAAGATTTTATCGTTGATGTTAGGGTTTTTGTGAGTATGTTTTAAGTTTCGCACATGCTTCACTAATTTTGGAAGGACGGAATCGAATCGTAAAATGTTTTATGATGTTTTCAGAAATTGGGTCGGAAAGGAAATTAAAGCTGTCACGATTTCTGTTATGTTGTGACTATCCTGAATATTGCTGTAATCTTGTGTATCACGAATGCGTATATAAGGATAATTCTGCCGTTCAGAAAGCGCTATTAAGAATAAAGATAGCTTCTGTTAAGTCATTAATCAGTGCTCGCACTTTTCTGTAATTTAATTATCGCAAGTAAAATTATCTGTAAGAACAGAGTCATATATAGCTTTTACATCTGACTCATAATATTAACTGAATCTGAAATACTGAGAAGACGCCATTTAACTGAACTTTGTATAGTTATAATCACTTTGCCTAGCTTTGTTCTGTACTTTAAAACTGATTTAAGAAATTTCATTTTGAAGCACACAGGTTTCCATTTTACTGCTTTTCCTTTAATGGATCTACCTATATGTGTATGAATTATCTACAACTGTCATGACACACAAAGCCTTTTTTATGATTCTTTATCTAGACAAAGCAATTTGTAGATTTTTTATTTATAAAATTCAAATAAACGCGCTTGTAAATGAATATATATCAAATATGTTAAAAGATGAAACCATTTTCCGATTTTAACGTAAATTCATCTGTTATCATGTTTAAATTAAAATTGTCCTTGTTATTTTTATAAAACTTGTATAATTGGATTGTAGTAAATAGAACTCTTCAGTGCATGGAATTTAAAAGAAATTTTTCTTCGTTACACATTCAGAACATTCCGTTTAGTTTAGTTTTGAAAATTCACTTTCCTCGCCTATAATGTATTCATTGCTAAATGTTGTCCTTTCCTTTTCAGAATGTCTCGTCGCAGGGAAGGGGAGCTGAAAGGCAGAAAGCGCTGACTTCTATACGCAGCCAGTATCCACGTGAAAGAAACAGCAGCTGAACCATGACGCAAAGTCTTCTGCACGGCAAGAGATTTTTTTGTAGAGAATGGGCTTTCGCCAAAATAAGTCATTGCTTAGAGAGTCGCTCCTCTTCGAAAACGTGTGGTACACTTGTAACTGGAGGGCCAGGTTCTGGCAAAACTGCCTTGTGCTGTGAATTGGTTTGGCCCACCAATATTCATAGCAAACAAAGTACCTTAAGCAAGAGGTTATTGGCTTATCACTTTTGCCAAGCACATGATATTAATAGTCTCTCACTTGCTTCCTTCATCAACAATTTAATCAGCCAGCTAACTGCATCCCCTCTTCTCAGTGGTTATAGTGATAGAATTAAAAGTCCTGAAGTTGAAGCTGCTCTCCAGCTAGCCGAATGTGAACGCAACCCCGATGAAGCTTTCAAGAAAGGAGTTCTGTTTCCTCTTCTTGAGATAGATCCGCCGAGTCAGCCTTGCTTTATTCTTGTAGATTCTGTAGACCAGTCGATACTGGGCGCTGTTGGAGACAAGAATGGAGGCATTAGCAGAAGTATTGCTGAATTACTGTCCAACTATCATCATTTATTTCCTCGCTGGCTACTTCTCATATGTTCCTCAAGAAAACAAAGCAAAACTGTTACTCGCATGTTTACAGGGTTTCGAAAAATTAGCTTAGATGATCTGAGAAAGTCACATGTTGTTCGGGATGTTCAACAATACATTCTTTGTAGGTTGGATCAAGAGGAAGCTTTGAGACAACACTTGAGTCGTGAAACTGCGGAGATGTTGAATCAACTACATATTAAAAGCAACGGGTGTTTTATGTACCTTGAAAAAGTATTAGATGGCGTAGGTGAAAATTTTATAATGCTCAGAGAAATTCGAGAAATACCAGGCACTCTTAATGGTCTTTATCTTTGGCTTTGCCAGAGGTTATTTGTCAGAAAACAGTTCAATAAAGTGTTATCTATTCTTAATGTCATTCTTGCATCAAGAAAACCTCTGACAGAAGAAGTTTTGTATCAATGCGTCTGGACGCGAAACACAAATTTAACTTGGGAAGACTATCAAAAGCGTTTGCGGCTATTATCGAAAGTTTTAATCGAAGGAAAGGGAGGAACAAAGATATTATTTCATCATAGTTTCGCCGAATGGTTGCTTGATGTCAAACACTGCACGCAGAAATACCTTTGTAATGCCAAGGAAGGCCACGGAATGATAGCAATGCGATATACAGTCGCTTCTCCTCATTTATCATCTGAAGAAATTATAGATTTTGCTTTGCATTTAAGTAAAATTCCTCTCACATCATCACTGCAATCTCATCATATAACACTGTGGCTTATTCATTGCAACTTGCCTCTTGCTGATTGCCTGATGAAAACATCAATGCCCAAAGATCCCCAAACTGTTAAACTTCTAGTCAGTGCTGGTGCCAAGTTGCCTACAGGGGATACTGTCAAAGATAGCAGTCCTAAGGTGCCTGATGATCCCCTAGAGGCCTTGCTGTCAGTTGGTAGTGACATTAATCAGGTGGACAGTAACCAAAGAACATTACTTCACCGTGCGTCCCATGAAGGAATCGACAATCTAGTCTTGAGGCTCATTGAAAAAGGAGCCAATTTGGAAGCTATCGATAAAAATGGCCAGTCGCCTATCAACCTTGGTAAGTACATCTTAACAATAATCATGTGTATTTTTATCGTATCGTTTAGTATTTGTATATCCTTATGTAAATATTAAGCCATAAGTATTATTGTCTTGTCATTGCTCCTCCTTTCTTAGCACGAATCGTCCAAGCTTGAATCTTCATATAGATAGCTAGATAAAATAGAAGTATGGAGGACACCTAATATGCACAAGTAGTATTGATATAGTATTTGCTTCGTTAATTCACTGTTGTGTCACTGGAACAGAAATCCCGTGAAGCAGGAATAACAAATCAGTCGCATCGGAACACATCCATAGTTTATGTCTATGCAGTTAACCCGACCGATAACAGTGTTGATAAAATTTTAAGGCATTTTCCGCTTCCTTTATTTTATCGGAGCGGATTTTTTTAAATGTTGAACTTCAATAAAAATTCGAGCATATTTTCACTAATCAGTTCCTAGGTAAAAATTTTAGAAAGGAAATATGCATGCAGGAACATTTTAGATAAATTGATTCTAATTCAAATTCATAATAGAAATAACGCCGGTTTTGTACAGGCGTTGAATGTTTTATGTTCTGGTATATCTACTTCTGAGAAATACATTCGCTTAAGTATCTGTAATTGAGAGAAACTGCTTGAACTTAACGCATATTACGGGTTTATATTATTTTTAATGAATAGTTATTTTAATTTGTTAGCTTTTTCTATAACTCCTTGTCTCCTTTGTTAGGATGTAAATGACTTAAAGGTGAACGAGAGTATTTAAACCGAAGTAGCGAAAAGGTTAGTCAGAGTGTGTTTTCGCTATTGAATGCGCACGTTATAATCTCAGCTAGCTGTTTGAATTTTGAATCTCGGCTTCTCATTTTTGCCGCCGAAGTCAGTATCACGCTGGTGTAGGTTTGTGAGTCAAACTGCTAGGTTAAGTAAATCTGTGTAGCTTACCTTTAAATTTAGTTTAGTTTACCATGATCTTTAGTTTTATCGCAATTAGTGGATGGTGGATTTTGTAAGTACGGAAAACTGTGCCGTCTGTAAATAACTGAGTTCAACAAAAGGGTCTTTTACACCTATTCTCTGTTGCACTTATCTTCTAGGCTTAGCGATAAGTTCGTTACACATATTTTCATGTTGGTCTAGTAGCAGTTTACGTTAGAAAAGAAGACTAGATCTTACATATATGCAGTGTTATAAAAGCGCTAAAATATATTGTAAATTTTTTAAACTTCGTTACGAATTTGCAGCAAAATTGTCTATATGATACCAATGGCTTTCTTTAGTCTCTAAATCTCTAAATAAGTGAGGAATAAAATCTATTGTAAGATCAAGAACAGAGTGTCGTCTTTTTTTTTTTTTTTTTTTTTTAAATCCTGTCTTACTGAGATAAAACTGTCGCATTTTTAAATGGATGTCGATTTTCATCAATATTTTTCATAGTGGTGTAGATTATTTTACGAAGGTAAATTAGTTATTTATTGTAGCACAATTTTGTAAAAATTATTACTCTATTTTAATAAGTTAAAAAATAAACTTATTGAACCATCGTTAAAAATGTTCGTTTCATAGCAAATCATGAAATTTCATATTGTTGGGTATTGTAAGTGGTCTGTCTCGCGCTTTAAGTATGTGATCAAAATATATCATTCCATACTTAACTTGCACCCCAGCAGCGGCCGAGTAGTTAAGACCATTGAATATCAGTAGTTCGAACCCAAACGAACGCGTTAGCTACATGGTTGTTTTCCCCATGTGGGACATGAATACGAGCCAGTTTTCCATAGAAGTTCCTCCCCGAAGGAGTAGACCGTTGTGTGCTCTAACCATATCTAACTTGCAAAATGTTTAATTAAAAAGTGTCTAAAAATGGTGAATCATATAAAATGATCACATTTGAATTTAATATCAGTGGGAATTTTTTTATCGCTTATCTGTTTATTTTCAAAATTTTCTACAAATCTTGCATCTGAAAGGCAAAGTTTTATAAGAAGAGAACGTAGGAAACTATTTCTTCATATATCTGCCTGTTTTCTAACTTTCAACAGTTTTATTTGCTCAGGTTTTTATGAACAGAAGTTACAAAATGATTTACTTCTTAGCGACGCTTGAGATGGAAAAAGCAAAAACCACATCTTTTATGATTTTTCAATCAATCAATACCGGAACTTGTCTGAGAGACTTCCTTGTTAAATGAAAGATAAAATATATCAGTCTAGAAACTTATTGTGAACTCTCTGCAGAGTATTCTTGCCTAACTGTAACCGATGGACTTCCACAGTTGAAAGAACTTGTAAATGATTTATATCACACGACGTTTGTAGTTTCTTTGTGAAAGTTACATCAAAAAGTGTCATTTTGGCTATTTCCGCTCTTGTTTTCTTTTATCTCCCGAAAATGTCAGACAGTGATAGATGAAGTCAAACAACTGAAAGAAATAGAAAGAAATATGGTGAGAAACCATCAGTAGTTTGATTCTCCGGCAGACACTCAGAGTATTCTTTGATTATTTTATGGGAATCGCACTGCTGTTTCATCCATGGTCCGACTATATTCAATAAAAGAAGAGAGTAGTATTATTTCTTTTATTCGCAGAACCTTGGGACTAAATATAACGTCTCTATCCACATCTAAGTATTATGTACAGCTACCCGACTTGCCTGCTGTCAAAGAAGGAATATTGTTTTTCGCGGTTGAATTAAACTAATTATCTAATGTAGATAATGAGGTATTTATCTAGTTTATCTTCTGTCCTCTTTTTTATAGAACTTGCCAAACATCTCTTTTTTTTTGGGGGGGGGAGGTGAACTCTTACTGCTGTCTACTTCTGTTCGGTAAAAATTGTAAAGAAAAGCCGTAATTTTATTTAAAGTAATTTTTTTCCCCTTGTTAGGCAACCAGCGGCCGAGCGGTAAAGTCGCTGAACGCTGGTAGTTCGGTCCGAGGTTCGAATCCCGCGAACGGGCTGGCTGCATGGGCGTTTTCGTGGTTTTCCCCATGTGTAACGTGTATACGAGCCAGTTTCCCTTAGAAAGACCTCCACGAAAGGCATCCCTCCCTTTAGGCAGATAGCCCTCGTGTGCTTTGCTATAACTGAATAATCCAATCCAATCCAATCCCTTTAGACAGATAGCCCTCGAGGCTTTGTTTAATAATCACACACCCCACACCCACTTTTTTCTTGTTAGTCTTTCTTACTTGAGTAAGCAAGCGTTCTTGCATGAGTAATTAGCCTGTGCTAAATTTTTTGGACTTAGTATCATCCTTGCTAGCTATGCATCTGTTTAATAATTCTGACCTTACGCGTTTCTGAAGCAAAATGGTCTACAATCATCCAGTAACTAAACCGCGGCATGTTTGTATTTGCAGCTTGGGCTTGATCCCCATTGGCAAACGCGCTACATCCATGATTACTTCCATGAGTATCTGTTTCTAGGTATTTTTACTTCACTTGCATATTACTAGACAGGCATATAGGAAAGCAAATTTTAAAGCAAATTATTGAGCAAAAACTAATAAAATTTTGCGAGCTGATAACTATTGATTTTTCTGATGCTCAATTCAAAATGAAGAGCCGAATAATTTCCAAACATATTGTAATTCTTTACCTAATACTACATTTTAGATAGGAAGAAAACTATCCCTAGTTGTCACATATAGTACATAGTTTTAAGTCAATTTACATTTAATTGCCCCTTCCCTTCTTGAGAAAAAAGTATGAAAATGCTGGAACTTGAACATAAGCGTTTGCATGCATGTGGAATATTTTGAACCGACGAATTTTTATGCTGTTGAGATATAGTATTTCCGCTGTTATTAAGTTCATATAATTTGATGATTACTTTAAATCCTTCGTTAATTAGATTGCGTTAAGTACTAGATATTTCCAAATAAAGGGAAAAAACACTTCGTAATTTCTAAATTTACCTAGACTTGATCTGTACATGTTTCTCATTCAAGACTTACTTCATAAATGATTTTTAAACATAATTTTATACTCGTGTTTGCAGTTGTTAGCTTTAATCATACACTGAATTTTTTATAATTTTTTTCCCTTGCTGAAATGGAGTATTATTGAAGCTTATATCTTTTTACAGTTTAAGATATTCTACTGTCCGTATTTTCTTATTTTATTAATACATTCAGCTCAGTTTTCATTTATACACTTTGCACCTGTTAAAATGTTACTTATACAATACTCTTATTTTACATGTCTTTTAATAAAGAACAAATCCGTGCACTATAAGTAATGTATTAAAATCCAGCACTTACGACGTCGAGTTCATCACACGTCTCGTGCTTTACAGCATTAGAAACGTCTGTTAGCTGCACATAGTATCTTTTATTTGGTCATTATTTACTAACGTTATATTATGGTATTATAATATCTATAATGTTGGAATTCGGCACTGAGACTCAGATTTTTGACTTTATATATGTTTTTTTTCCTTATATATATTATATAATATATATATATATTTTTTTTTTCTGGCCAGTCCCATTTTTTTTTATCATACGGCTGACTTGTGCCGGCTAGGAGGATCGGGGCTGTGCCTTTATAATAATAATAATAGTATCTATAATGTTCAGAATTTGTCCATTCTCGGAAGTTTTAATTATTTGAAATCATTTGCCATAGACACAGGATTTTCTTCCACAGTGTTAAATAATGACTTTAAATATTTTTCCTCTTGCCATCATAAAAAGGATTGAATCATTAGGAACAATAATATTATTGACATTACTTTTTATCCTTCTCTTAGCTATAAAATTGCTGAGATTCCTGCAAGTTCATCTGTCACGTCCTTTTCCTCAACTGTTAGTAAAATCCGTTGTTAAGATATCGCTTCTCTGATTTTAATTCTTGGTCAATTTATAACATTACTTATCAGTAGGGTTTAGCATATATCGACCAAACTAGTTAAAATTTCACATCAAAGAAAACAAAACTGAAGAGGAGAAAAAAAGCAAATCTTCATTTGCTAATCATAGCTAATGATTACTTAACCACGATTTTG